AAAAAAAAAATGCCCAGGCATCTTTCTACTAAAAGAACCTATATGTGCATTTTAAAGTCCAAGTATATAATCGTTACATTGAGATCGTGATGATGATCCTATTAAACAACATTGCACTGAATAGCCTCTAAGATGAAGCACAGAAATAAACATCCTTTATAACTTTCTCCCATTTCTGCTACCCATTGCTGTAAAGGTTATGCCGTTAATACTAATAGCATATTAAAATTTATTAAAAATTTAGCAATTCTATTAACAGACCACTGGTAGGTAGTGAGTCAAAAGTCAAATACTTTTAGCTGAGTATAGTCTAGAGCTGTGCTTTCTTAGGTCAGTAGTTTGGTTTTGAATATAGAACTCAAGTAGCAGACAATGAAGTATAACATTTGGATTTATCGATTCTATTAGAACATTAGAAGATTTAGCATCTGGAGACCACCAGTCCCACAGGGAATAGGGTAGAGTTGAACTTCTGTAATGGAGAACTTCTTTAGTTGGAGTTCCACTCTTCAGTTTTTCTTCCAAAATTGAAATCTTTCATGACATAACATCTTGAATTCTGTTGACGCTTGAGTTTGCAAACTTGTTTTTAGGTTAGTGTCATTTTGGTAGAACTAAACACTAAACTCATCCAATTTGCAATCTGAGAAGCTGAAATGGTCCTTCTGACTTAACAACAAAGTTGCTAAGGGGGTAGAACCCCTCCTTTCTGTTTTGGGGTTTCTTGAAAATGATGTCACAGGAAATGCGTAAGCATCAATCACTAGGAGGAAATCAGCTGCACGCACATGAATATAGAGTGTGAAGGAGGAAGGGTTCACCATGTGTTTTCAGGATCCTACTCCATTTAGTAGAGACACAAAACAGAGCTGTGGCAAGGATTCAAATCTTTGAGAAAAAGAAAATGAATAATAGGAAGTGCTCACGCAGCTTACTTTTTGAGAGGAATTCGTCCTTCTGGAGTTACTTGCAGTTTAAGTTTAGTATAGCTGTTGGAGAAGCAGAAAAACAAGTGTTTAATTAAAAAAAACTTTTATTGGAGGATAAAATACACATAAAAGGGCTTGTGCACATGTGTAGTTTACTGAATTTTCACTCACTGTCCAAGGCACTGCACTTGGCACCCAGAATAAGAAATAGAACACTGTCAGTTCAGAAGTATGCCAGAAGTCCCTTTCAGACTCTATCCCCCCAAGGAACCATTATCTTGACTTAAGAATAGTTGTTTTTATTTTGATTTTTTTGGCTTGTGTTCACACGTTATGTAAGTGGAGCCACATTCTTTTGTGTCAAGCTCCTTGCCCTCAATATTATGGATGTGAAATCCATCCATATTTTTATGTAAATTATTCACTCTCATGGTAGAACAGCATTCCATTGTGTGGATATAACAACTGTATTTATCTCTTCAACTGCTTCTGGACATATGGCTAGACAGCTGGTGCAAGAAAACTTGAAAGTACTGAGGATGAGTGTGTAAACTGGGACTGTCATCTTTAGAAATTGCATACACTATGATCTAGTAATCCCATATCTAGCTGTAAATGCAACAAGTTCATCAAAAGGTAAGTTCTAGAATAAACATAAGAATTATCCATAGTCAGACACCTATACAAATTTGCATTAGAAAAACCAATGGAATGCTTCTAGCCATAGTGTGCTATATTTCATGTAAAACAACTTTATTTGTATGTCCTTTCTACTGGCATTGCTTCCTGAAACAGATGTTCTGGAAATGTCTGTTAGGTGAAGAATAATAAGATCTAAAAACAAAGATGGTAAAAAGAAAGAGAAATAAAGAGGAAAAAAGAGGAAGAGAGGACGAGAATATAGGAAAGGCCCTTAAGTGACAAACTAAGGAGATAAGATAATCAAACAAGCTAATTTAAGGTAAGACCTGTGAGGTACTGACTAATAGCAAAATGAATATATAAAGAGAAAAAAATAGGTGGGAGATGTTTTAGATTTTGAATTTTTGTTCTGTCTTACAGAAAAAGAGGGATTAGAGAAGCTATTCAGTTCAATAAATGACATCCTGTAATGTTACCACTTATAGATTTGATTTAAAGGTTTCCCAACCTTGTGGGCTTCCACAGTTTTCAAAGTGAACACAACCAGCTTTCCTTTCTGCTCACTGGCAAAAATCATTGTTTGTGGTTAAAGAATTTTTAGAACAGCTGATGAATGGTTGGGTACAGTGTTTTGCTTGCTTTCTTTCTCCTTTTCATTCTGTTAATTCCTCTACATCTTTTCTCTTTTCTTACTAACACTTGTTGAGACTCTATATAAGAGTAGGGATCAGAACTTTCATCTATGAATTTAATTAGGCAAGGATATTACTGTAGAATCTATGAAAGATCTCATAGAGATCGAGAAATGAGTACTGTGTATTGGTCATTCTCCTTATATTAATAGTTGATACAACACAGACAGACATAGAAGTGGACTCTGAAATTAGTAACTTTTTCTTCTGTGGATAGCTGCTAGGATTTTGAAGTGTCTCCTTCTTGTGTGGCAGGAGCACTGACATTCAGGGGAGCTCAGGTCACACATGACATGCATGTGGAGCTTGGAGAAAAGAGTGATCTTTCTTGGAAGTCTTCCAATTCCAAACAGTAGAGATATCAGTCCTCTAACAAATTCCAAAGGGAAATTTATATTTATCAATGTGAGAAGCCAGTAGAGCATAAACAAAAGGCTCACAAAGGAGAAAGGAAACTGACTCAGAAGAAGCAACACCCTTAGTAATAAAATTAGAGCTACTTACGCCTTTTCTAGAAATGCATCCCTGGACATATTTTGGGCCAGCAGGTTTGTTGCCAGACTGAAAACCTCATTTGTCCATTCCTGAAAAATGTAAATCACATTTGCATTAACTTAAATGCATTCAGTTAAATTAGACACATGTTTTTAGCTAAACACCTGGAAGCCAAATTAATTTAAGGTCCATTCCTTCCTTTCTTGATAAAAGTGACATAGCTAATTCAAATATCCAAGTCACTACTTCTTTCCTAACAAAATACTCTTTACACATAAACATTATATTTCTGTTTTTAAAAATCTCTAGTTAGGGATCTGTCATGTTGCCTTACAATAACCAAGTACTTTTTTTTTTTTTTAAAGATTTATTTATTTGTGCATACAGAACTGGGGTACAGGCCAGAGGCTCAGGGGCGGTGAGAGGCTTTACCAGAGACAGAGTGGGGAGCAGAACAGGCAGAATGATGAAGTACACTGCTGAGGGGAGCAGCAGGCGGGTCAGGAGAGGTGTGCCGCGCCATATGGTCACCTCCGGGGCAGGCGGGAATCGAACTCATGCGGAAGCGGCTTTAGATTCTCAGTGCTATGCTTTAACCCGCTGCGCCACCAGGGAGGGCCACCAAGTACTTTTTTAATATAGAAAAAAAAAGTACTTAGAAAAGTTTAAGGTATAGTACATATAATACAAAGTTTAAGAAAAGCAGAAAAGTTTAAGATATAGTCAGATGTACTTTTAACTACTTACAAATGCATCTTCTTACTTCACTACTCAAATCCAATAAGTTAATATCTGGTATATTTAAATATCAGTTACAGTTCTAGACCTAGTTGTAGTTGTCTAAGCTCAGTTGCACATGTAAGTCCTTTCCTGCCATACCAGTACCTTCTCTTTCCCCAACTCTATCTCTGCTTTCCTCAGCTTTACCCCTACCTCACACCATCAATGATTTAATTTCACTTATAAGAAAATGGAAAGAGCAAATTTACCAAAAATGTTTAATTTCCATTCTGGGTAAAGATTTCGAATATGTAATCAACATTCTGGATCAAAAAACAATGCTTAAAGAGAAGATGATATGCAAGTTAAGTAAGCAAATCATCCAGTATTATATTTGAATTGGCTCCCTCCTCAATGAAAACATGTTTCTTATGTCAACAGTTTCTACGCCTACTTTTGTTATTTCTACTATTGTTTATTAGTGTTTTGTTATTGGATTTTTGCAACAGAAAATCCAGCCAGATGTTTACAATTAAAATATAATGGGAGCTACATGTAATGCATGTAGATACTTTCTAGTAGTATATTAAAAAAATCAAAGAAACAAAATTAATTTTAATAATTGTATATTTATAACATTTATAAATACATTTTGCACTATTTCTAAAATATCATTAATCCTAAAATCAACATTAAATATTTGAGCTATTTTAAATTACTTCTAAGTCTTTGAATGGAGGTGTGGATTTTACACTCATAACTCATCTCAATTTTCACTAGAAGACTTTCAAGGGTCTCCTAGGTCATTGACTCTATGTGACCCCTTTATAAAGGCAGCTAAAGGACTGTGTCATCACTGCATTCACATCACAGTCGTAGTTAGCTGACTTAAAAAGTAAAGCTTAATTTATTTTCATCAAAAGCTTACAATGTGAGCATCCAAATTCCCAAACCTTACTGGCCTCTTGAAGCTTTCTGAGAGACTCAAAATATCTGACTCAGGCTGCATCAGAGATTCAGGGACTAAAGCAGTGACTTTATAAATAACCCACACTTGTTTGGGGGCTGGCTCAGCCTATGTCAAACTGAGCTAAAGCAGCTTGTGTTTTATACTGGCTTCCCTAGAAGAAGCCCCTGTGATAAGGATTTATGAAAAATAGATTGATTACAGAATGTGCTCTGGCCACATTATAAAGGGAGTAGGACAAAGAAGGGAAGAAGGCAGATGTGAACCCCCACAGCTGGTAACTTTGCACAGACCACCCTGATAGCTAAGCTTTCAGTGAGGGACAAGGGAGCTGAGTGTGGCAATCCTATGCCTGTTAGTCTTGGTTAAAGACTGCTGAAGTGGACAGCAATCCCCAGGCACTTCCTGCTCCCCTTGATAGCAGGCTAGGTCAGAAACAGCAACGAGAAAGAACTGTGTTGGCTCAGACATAGAAAGGGACATAGGTGTTGGCTTTTGAAAGTGAAAATCCACTGAGATGCTGTGTGTGAAACAGTGAATTGATTGGAGAGGACGTGGCAGAAAAATTCTAGAACCTCTACGGCCTGATCATATGTATTGCAGGAATTCTGGGCAATGAGTAGCTACACTGCATAGAGGGGTGGGCCATGGGCCTAGAACATCTAATTCAAGTATTTGTGTGCACACACATCACTAAGAGTCTTGCTGAAGTTCAGGTACTGATTTAGGAGGTCTGTAGGAAGGATAGAGAATCTGCATTTCCAGCTAGCGCTCAGGTGAAGTCTGCATTGTGTTGTATCTGAGCTGTAAGGTTGTAGAATGGATTTTGCAGCACTAATTGAAAGCTTGTTAGAAGTGCAGGGCTCAAAGCTTCACACCAGATCTTCTACCTCAGAAACTGCATTGTTTTCAAAAAATCTTGAAATCATGAAGATTTCATGATATCTTCACATTTTTTTTTATTTTTAAGATTTACCTATTGATGCATACAGAACTGGGGTACAGAGGTGCAGGGGCAGTGAGAGAATTCACCAGGGACAGAGTGGGGCATGGAACAGGCAGACTGAGGGAGTACACTGCTGAGGGGTGGAGCGAGAGAGACAGGAGAGATCTGCAGTGCGATGTGGGTCACCTCCCTGCCCGGGGATTGAACTCGTGCCGAAGCAGCTGAGGCTAGCTTCATAGTGCTGTGCTTTAACCCGTTGTACCACCAGGGAGAGTCCAACATCTTCATATTTCTATGGATACTGTTAAGCCAGCAAGAGCACCTTGAAAAGAGGACTGTTCTAGCCTCGTTTAGGCAGGGCCATCTAATATTGGTTTACTCTGTTCCCATGCAAACAATGACATTATTTTGGTTATATATTTTTTAAAAAGCCAAAAACCCTTACAGCTCTCAGAAGAACAATATGGCTGAAAGATAGGACCTGAGCAGCTTACAGCATCCTGGGCTCATCATGAGGTTATGACATGCTTTGCTACAGGGAACAGCCTACCCTGCAGTGTTCTCATAAACCTGATGCTGGGCTGTAGTGCGTTTGGCATTGGAAGGGCAGCTCTTATTTAATCTGGAGGTTTTGTTTTCTACCTTCAGAGAAAAGGTGCTGATGATGGCTACTAAATTTGTTTTAGCCCCTGCTGTTTAGACCCTAAGCTTCTTTAGTGATATTTTTAGCTTTATAATCAATCTTTTCTCATAAAGGAACTCAAACTAGAGAAAGTGGTTCTAAAGGTCAGCTTTCCTGGAGTTTCATCTAGAGTTTAAATGTGCATGTTTATATCTCAGATCTGGAGATTACTCCTGTAATTCTCTTCCACAAAAAGTTTTTGTGTAGTTGATGAGAAGTCAAGTCTTGACACCATCAGAGATACCAAATTTTGCTATCAGGTCACAAAGTCAATGTATTTCTATTTTTAAGATGATTTAACTTCTAACATTTTTGCACAGGGCTTATGTATCTGTTTAATACTAATAACAATTGTCTCATAATCATCAATTACTCTCATAAGTATTATTTAAGTGTTTACTATGAACTGAACTAAGTTCTTTGATTCCAATAACTTATACCCACAACAATTCTTAGCAGGTAGGTGCTGTTATTAGCCTCATTTTACAGATAAGGATTAGTTTCAAAGCACTTAGTTACTTATGTCCATAGAGCTAATTAAAGCCACTGTTTGCAATTCAATCCCTGGCTTACTGGGCTCCAACACCTGTATTCTGAGAGATTGTGGTTTCTGAAATTTTGCTCTAGAAAATTTTAGGGTGGCTGATACATATAGTTTTCTGCCATAAAAAAATGCACTTAATTGCATTCTGTACAAACCACTGATTTAGCACTTAATTTGATTTAGGCACTGTTCTAAGCATTTTGCAAGTAATTAACTCATTTAATGCAGCCACTCTATGAGGTATATTCTATTATTACCACTGTATTTTACAAATGAGAAAGCTGAGGCTTGAAGCATACATAAGTTTGCGAGTTATAGCACCTGAGATTTGAACCTGGAAAGACTGCTTATAGTTGTCTACCCTACCTCTACATCATGATGCTAAACTATGAAATGTATGAATTTCATAAATTATCTATTATTGCAATGGTTGCTGTTACAGTGGTTGATGGTAGAAGAAAAAATGGCGAGGTAGAGAGAGGGGTAAAGTTAGTCACAGACTAAGCAAGTCTATAACTTGCATCTTTGATAACCATGTTCAAATACCTACCATGCATGATGGTTCAACTCTTCCCACTTCCGAGAAAAAAATGAAATTTCTCTCATTAGAAATTTATAATTATTAATTTTTTGACTAATTTACAACTGCAAGGGGTATACAAGAAAGTCTTCTGGGGGAATATCATTACTGTAGATGTTTCTGTTTTCCATAGTTCTCCATCATAGCTTATTATGCTCTCCCTTCCCACTCCTGCCCATTCTCCATTAGACAAAACACAGATGCTGGTGTAATAACCACAGATCCAAATTTAACAATTATTAACACTTTTCCATATTTGGTCTACTTATCTAACTATACCTATACACACACACACACACACACACACACACACGACAGTGCAATGCAGCAATGCAAATCAATTCTACATTGTGTTTCTCCCTGATCCTATTCTTTCTTTTCTCAGGAGCAAACTCATTTTGAAAAAATGGAATCAAATCCGTATCTATTTTCATATAAATCCTAAAGCAGAGTTCAGCAAACTAAGGTCCAAGGGCTAAATCCAACCTCCCACCTGTTTTGTAAATACTTTTATTGGAATAAAGCCATGCTTGTCCTTTATGTTCTGTCTATGACTGCTTTCATGGGGTAGTGGTGGAGTTCAGTAGTTGCAACAGAGACTCCAAAGGTACAAAATCCTTACTAAATTTACAGAAAAAATCTGTGATTCC